CACTAGAAAGCAGTTAGAAATTAAAATAGATATAAAATATACTATTTTTAAACTCATAAAATAAAATAGGCTGTTTAAATCCTATTTTACATTGCAAGTTAAATGCACAAATTTCAAACAGGAATAAAATATACTATTTTAATCCTATCTTTCTTTCATAGTTAGCAAAATAACAATAAAATAGACTATTTTAAACATATTTTGCACGTGCAGAATATTACATAAATTAAAATAGATATAAAATATAGTATTTTAAAGCTATTTATTTTTCAGAATACGCAAAACAGAATAAAATAGGCTGTTTTAAACCTATTGCACATTTTTAAAACTGCCACATTTTTCAAATAGGGATAAAATATACTATTTTAAACCTATTTACTTTCCCTAATTTGCAAAATATAATAAAATACACTATTTTAATCCTATTTTACATTTACCGGAATTCAGGATTACAATTTGCAGATATGTATAAAATAGTCTATTTAAATTAAAACATTCTGAATTTTCCTACTTAGCAAAATGAAATAAAATAGAACCGTATTTTATAGTTACACAGATAAGGGACCAATCATTAATAATGGAAGGGGGGTGAGGGGCGGAGGGTGAGAAAAGGGGGAGGCTTCAACTGTTGCCTACACTGGTCATCCCATGCAGTGCTTCCACTTGCAAGGACATTTCTTTGCAAAAAGAAATAAAATTTACTAGGAAACGGCAAAGAATTTTGTTTTCAGCAAGGAAATAAGGATATTATGTTATTTCTAATAAATCCTAAGATTATAGCAATTCCCAAGCAAATTCGCGTCAGGAAATGTCAAAAATCCAAATCCTACTCCTGGGGAATGGAAAATCTGAAAAATTTCTGAGACATGACCTCAAGCCTCCTGTTGCAGGTTTTTATAATTAATTTATAATTTATAATTGCAAGGTTCATGGTGTTTCTCACCCGAGAAATACACCGTCATTCAGGATAAATTATTGTAATATCAGTTTTAAACTAGGTAAAATTCATCTTCATCAAAGGAATTTTTGTCAAAAATAAGGAAATTTTGAGCAGTTGGGAAGGAAATTATTTTTGTGGAAGTGGAAGCACTGAATTTACACCCCGCCATTTTTTATAATCAGTTCGTGATTTCGAAGTTACAATATTTCGCTCGATATTTTGAGCCGATGAAGCCTTATTAACCGTGAATAAACGAAGATGAAACATCAGGGATGATTGAGTAATATCCAGGTAAGAATCTTGTTATGTTTTATGTATAATAGAGCAATTTTGAAAGGAAATATTTGCTATCTTCATTCGTGAACTTTGAGAATGCACGTGTTTGATGACCTTTGATGTTTCGGCTTAAAATTTGAATTTGCCGAGCCGATGAAGCCTTAATAAGCGAAGATGAAACATCAGGGATGACAGAGTAATATCCAGCTAAGAATCTTGTTATGTTTTATGTATAATAGAGCAATTTTGAAAGGAAATATTTTCTACTTCAATCTTCATTCCTGAATTTTGAGAATGCACGTGCTTGATGTTTCGGCTGAAAATTTGAATTTGCCGCGACAATATTTAAAACGATGATATAAAACGTTAGTTTAATTCAAAGCTTACACCTGACTCCTGAAGTCATTATATTAAATTATGTTTATTGTATTAACTAATGCCAAATAGTTAATAGTTGTGTATTGCCAGATTCCAGTGGCAGTGTTTCTTGTATCAAAATTAATATACAGTATTATAGCTTGGCATCTACTCAAGTTTCAATCCTCAATTCTTTATATGCTTATAAATACCAAGGGCATATCCCAGCTAAATGTGCATGTCTCAGTTACATAATAGTCATAGAATAAAAGTTATTCTGAATAAGGAGTGCATTATATAGTAATTAACACACAATTTATGAAACCTGTATGTTTTGAATCAAATATGATTCACCTTCAGCAGTGTTTCACAAGATATGTCGTTATATTTGCAAGACATGCCGTTATATTATTTTCTACTTATATCTATCTAGTATATTTGCTGAAATTATCAGCCGGAAAAGGATGTCTCATGCACTTTACCATTATAGCACTTATGTATCGATCAATTCGAAACTTCGCCATCCCCCCCCCGGGCCGACCCCGGGAATTTGAACTTTTTGAAATTTGACTGATCAAATTCTCCACCCTCTGTGCAAAAAATGTCTTCAAATGCCCCACTGTAACAAGAAATTAAGCATTCAAATGCCCCACCTTCATATGAAAATTATGAAACAGTAAATACAAAAAGTACAAAATATACGGAAATGTTTTCGACAAGATAGCGAAATTCGCGTAAACAGTTTGGATACCTTGTGGAAATTTAACAGTTTTACACAGTTATGTAGTACATACCTTCAAATGAAACACATAGATTTTCCATGCCCGTTTCTTTGAACCAGTTTTTTCACAAAATTGAGGCCGTTTCCCTCGAAATCTGAGAAAACTGTATTTGCCGCCAATACGAAGTATTTTCTGTGCATGCAGGAAGCACGCGAAAACGGGCAACATTTTAAGACTTCCGGTTCAAATTCCCCACCCCGTTATCAAATGCCCCACCACATGGAAGACTTAGAACGTCAAATTCCCTACTCCCTGGAGAAGACTTGAAGTCAAATTCCCGGGGTATGCCCGGGGGGGGATGGTGAAGTTTCGAATTGATCGATACATTATATACCCTACTTTAATTTTTTTTTCACTCTCAGTCTAACACCAGGTGTTAGTTGCATCAAAACTGGATTCTTTCAGTTCTGTTTGATTTTACCATGTCTAACATCTGAGGGTAATAGTACAATGTATTAGGATATCAATGGAATGGGGGTATAGAGGGTTAATTTCAATTTCCTTTGTATGCCATGCTTAAGTTTTTAATGCCGGGTGGGTCGGTTAATAGGTAAAATGTTAATTTGATCAATTTGTTGTGTGGCAACTTGATTATGGAAGTGCCCTAACTGGAAACAGTCAAAGTCCTTTGTTTGCTTGTTCAAAGTTTATAATATATGAATACATTTATCTATACCACCTGCATGATTTGCTTAATAATATATGTAACAACCTTTGGGCTACCTTTTATATATCTTTAGACACAACCCGGCAAGTCACGACAATGGTGAAATTACCCATTTCACTCCGAAGTGCCCAATTTTCAGCAGTTTGTTAATATTTAAATGTTTCTGTATCTTGCCTAATGTTGGACAATTTTATTTGCCAAGGAAAGTGTCCAGCTAGACTCATGATGTTTCATGCCCATGATGTTTCATGTTGACATATTTAGATGTAATTTTCCTTAACACTCCCTACTTTAAGTTCTGCACACAATATTTAACTGTGTGGTCTCAAGCTAGACAATTTTAAGGGGGCGGCTGCCCCTCCTGCCCCCCCCAGTTCCGGTGTCCCTGTAAACAATGCCATTGATTTGACACTGCTTAAACTGCCACATTCACCCCTGCCGCTGTTAAACTGTCACAACCTAGCATTGACAGCTAATAAGAATACAAACTGTTTTATGTGTATTATTTTATACAATTTTAAACGATAATATACCTGTCAACCATGGTACTAAGCTAATTTGATATTATTTCATTACTATTTTTTAACTGGTTTTAATTATCATACTACAATTTTATTACTTTATAAAAAACTATGTTGCAGTGCTACTATTTTATATACTATTAGGTATTTTATTGTTATTTTATAACTATTTTATTGCTACATTCTGACTATTTTATTGCTATTTTATGACTATTTTACTATTCTTTTATTGCTATTTTATAACTATTTTATTACTACTTTCTGACTATTTTATAACTATTGTATTAATCATTTTAGAACTGTTATGACTCTCGACTATTTTATTACAATTTTATTACTATTTTTATACTATTTTATAAGAATTTTGAACTATTTTTTTTACTATTTTGTTCGCTATTTTATCACTATTTTAAATTCTACTATTTTATTACTATTTTATCAGTATTTTATTCATATTTTTAAACTATTTTATTACTATTTTTGCAGTAATTTTATTACTATTTTTAGTTAATATACTGCAGTTGATCCACTATTTTATATGTATTTTCGACTATTTTTAACCTATTTTATGTATATTTAAAATCTATTTTAATACCAATGTTTCACTTTACTTCATTATTTTATTTCTATTTTGCACTCTATTTTAAATATATTTTATCCTATTTTAAACCTATTTTAATCTGTGCTTCACCGATTCAGAAAAATAAAATCTATTTAAAATAGGCTATTTTTTGTTTCACAAAAACCTATTTATAATAGCCATAAAATACAATTAAAACAGAGTTCTAATAGGTTTAATATAGGATTTGTATATGTGATAGCAATATGATAGGGTTAAAAATAAAATAGCTTTTCTATAGGAATAAAATAGAAAGTAAAATAGGGATAAAATAGGGTTAAAATAGTGTTGATTTTCGTAAGGGTTCGCAATACTGCACGATTCTAAATCACGTTCTGCTTGACGAATTTCCAATTCCCGACGAATTTGCATTTCACGCTTCAATGTTTTAAACTTTAAGTCTTGTAGTTTTTCTTCATAGTGGTGGCGCTCTTTAACTTCGTCTAACCTCTTTCTTGATCGATGTTCTTGTTCTTTACTCAGATGCGTATAGGTAGATTTCTTTCTCGACGATACACGAGAACGAGCAGAGATAGAGAGCAAACATTTCTCTTCTTGTGAACCCCGACGTTGAGACTCTGATTCTTTCTGTTGTGCTGAAATGCATAAGCGTACCGGGCGGGGGGGCGGGGGGGGCGGTAGCCCCCCCAGTTTTTTGGACAGTCGGGCAATATTCGATTAACAGTCGGGCAATTTTGGGTTGTTATAGTTGTTGCAATTTTACGAAAAGTCGGGCAATTTTCTTTCCGCCCCCCTAATTTTTTCCTTCCGGTACGCGCATGGCTGAAATGTACTGTTCTGCCTTCAATTTACAATTCGCGATTTTCTCTTCAATCTCAACTAGTTTATCTGTCGCCAAATCAATCTCTATCTCATCTACTTCGCTAGTCAAAACAGCAATATACTCGTCATGGCGCTTTACAAAGCCACTGAACGCTTCATTAAGTGAGTTAATAACTCTATCAAGTTCTCTGATACTGCCTGAGGTTTCGATTAACTTGTATATATTGTTCAACAGTACTAGTTTGGTAACATGCGACATCTTACCTCTTCTGCTGGCTTTCTTCGCTTGAATGTTCAACAATTCCGCTGAAGGAACTTCTTTATTTAATCCGTAACACTGTTCGGAATTCAACATGTCGTGTTCGCCGCCCAGACCATAATCACTCGCAAATTCCTTTGAACCTTCTATACTCATCACAACGCCAACGGTTCCCGGGTTTCGGCACCAATTTGTTTTGACTTTATATATTTAATTTCATATACTTTATTTCATATAATATTACTTCAAGTTTGACTTCAAGTTCTTCACGATTTTCATAAATAACTAACTAACTATAGTTCGCTTAGCAAAGTCCGTATTTATAGTTGCATAACACCCACACATTAGCACACTATTTACATATATGCAAAATAATTCAATCGTATAAACAGTCTCTATATACAGCTTCCTTCGCGCAACTCCATGCATGCAAGCTATGGGGTCCCCTCATGATGTAACTTATCATGGCTGACATGCCAATGATAGTATTGTTTTATATAGGAAACGAAATGCATGATAAACCGCAAGGTTTGTTACTGTTACTGTACCAGGAATTGACCGAATATACTGTTGTAATCACCCAGTCACAATTACGTAAAAGTTATGTTTCTTCCGCAACGGAGCTTTTTAAATTACATTAGATACCCCGGTTTCGGTGTACGTGTACGAGTAGCATGATTTTGGTTAGCAATATTTTCGTCGCCTGATGTCTGTACCTTTACTCATAATTAAGGTGCACATTTTTCGCATTATATCATTGTCTATTGCAATAAAACAGAAAAAGTATGATTGAATTAAAGACAACAGTAAAACAAGATGACACTACTCGTACCCGTACACCGAAACCGGGTTATCTTAACCTCTCTATAGTCAACATTGTCCTCGATAGGAGTAATTTATGCGGACCATGTATTCTTGAGTGATTTTGGTTTAGATTCCCAGAGCATTTCACGTCCATATACACAAGAGCAACTCCGTGTATACCATTTCGCAACTTACGATGCAACTTATTACGGACGATAAACCAATAATTGAGGGTGGGAAAGGGGGGTGGATCACGTTTCACAATGAAAAAAAAAGCCGTTTCACGATTCACTTGTTTTAAAAAAGCAATTTCACGGAAAACTACATTCTAATAAGATAATATAATAATAATAGGTTTATTAAGAGTATGTTAATGCATGGTACAGTATCTACGCTTTAAGTTCTCTCACTTCTCTATCTGTCAGTTAAAAACTACATCATAATCTACAAGTTTGAGTGATGAGCATGTACGACGACCTCCGCGTGTGTCCTCAGAGTGAGGAACCTTGTCCTCAGAGTGAGGAACCTTGTCCTCAGCGTGAGGAATCCATGGAAGAACCTTGTCGTCAGCGTGAGGAACCTTGTCCTCAGGGTGAGGAACCTTGTCCTCAGCGTGAGGAACCTTGTCCTCAGCGTGAGGAACCTTGTCCTCAGGGTGAGGAACCTTGTCCTCAGCGTGAGGAACCTTGTCCTCAGCGTGAGGAACCGTGTCCTCAGCGTGAGGTACCTTGTCCTCAGCGTGAGGAACCTTGTCCTCAGCGTGAGGAACCTTGTCCTCAGCGTGAGGAACCTTGTCCTCAGGGTGAGGAACCTTGTC